AGCTTGAGCCTTCGAAGGGAAGAGGTGCTTACCATAACAGAAAAATTTAAGCGCATGAACAAGAACCTTATGCATAGAATAGAAAATAATCTGACTAAAAGCTGAATGAAAAGACAAAGCTTTCATCATCTATTAAAATTGTACTACACAAAAACAGTGACATCCCTTCAAAGATCCTTCAACATGGAAAATGATCAAGGCATACAGCATAGTCCTACAGTCTAACAATACAGTCACAACAACAATTCTAGGCATAGAAAGGCTGTAGAATGTGACCTAGTACTGCAAGCAAAGACCCTTGAACAAGTCTGCCACTGTTATCAAAAACCAGAATGGAAACACGTAAACACAGATCGATCATCGGAGGGAACAGAAAGAACATGGTGGAGCTGGATCGGTCATCGTGCTGCAAGATGGAACCACAGTAGAAACGTCATGCGCCTCCGGAAAACTCTCAACAAACTTCAAGAGCAGAGCAGCAAGCAATTATTGATTCCGCCAAAATGTTTGAGGCAAGAAAAAATAAAAATAGCAAAATTGTTTTCCTTTGTGACTGCATATCAGTCCTCAGGGCTACTTGGAGGGATCCAAGAGACAAACAGGGAAAGAGAACTGACCCGCCAGCTAAACAGACTCGTAGAAAACAAACAGATCGTTCTCCAGTGGATCTAGGTTCACTGCGGCATACCAGGATATGAGTTGGCAGACAGACTTGCAAAATATGGAACAAAGGAGAAACAACCCACCTATTCATTGTCGTTACCAGAAATCAGAACACTTATCAAGGAAAAATACACAGAATTGTGGAAAGAAGAAACTAACAGTAAACATCCACAAGACCCCATCAGCAAACTCAACAAAAAGCAACATACAACAATGTTCCGTCTACAAACAGGACACTGCAGGCTTAACTACCATATGCAGTGTGCCTGTCAAACAGGACCACAAACAACCGAGCATATTCGGCAGACCTGCACACTCTACAAAACATAATATCACATAAACTGAGTTGTCTTCTGTCTGAGCCATCCATGACTTCCCTCTTATCAGCCGCTGACTCTTAACTGCACCCACAGCTTCATGGTAAACTTCCAGGTCAGAGGTAATTTATGTTTATGTAAAATGTCCGGTGTCTGAGAGAACCTGTTACAGTTACACAGATGAATTGCTGAACTGGACATTTAATAATTCGCAGTTAAAGGTGTTGATGATAGTTAGATTCCTCTTAATTAAATGAAGCACACGAAATTAATACAAATAATAATATTAATTATATTTTGGGCTTATTTGCACACATAAAAAGTGTCATTGTCGACGTCTTTTTCTGTAAGTCTTTCCCCTGCATTGTACTGTCTTACATTTAAAAAAAAAAAACCATTTGTGCAAGATTGGATTTTGTAGAAAAGTATCCATACGAGGAGGTAGCCGGTCTTCCACAAACTCTCACCAGTCGATTGTTCACGAGGGTGTGGATTTTGCAATTATAGTTTTTAATGAGGCACTCATTAGGTCTGAGTCACTTAAAAGTTTAACATTTAGTTTGTTAGTTCAAGTTGATAGGATCCACTTCACTGCACTTAGTTTTATCCCATATGCCCTGTCTCTTCCCCACACTGGCTAGCCACCAGTTAGAGCGTAGCACTAAGCACACATCGCTCAGCACTCTAAATGCTGTGAAATCAACCCACGAACGCCAGTCTGAGGCAGATGTAACCAGTCTCATATGACCCTCTCTTCTATTTAATAGATTGTTCAACAAGTTTGAACTTTTTAAATGTTGCAGTGAAATGTTTGAACTGGAGTAGGCAGTGAGTTTTGTTTATGGTTGCTAGGTTTTTGTGGGTATAGTTTTTTTTTTTTTTTTTACATAATGAGGTAGTCTAAACATTTATTAATAAACTGCAAATGTTATTGAAATGGTACCTAGGCAGATTATACTATAAGACTTTAGTTGAAAATGGTATGATAGAATAATTGATGTGAAGCTTTGAGAGAGAAGAACTGGAGGATTCTGATGTGTCAGGAGAAGGGCAGGGAATGCTGTTGTTGGATCAGATAAATGCCAGGAAGGCTTGATTGAATATAACTAGAATGTCATTGCACTTGAACACACAGGGAGACTTCCAAAAATACGCACAAGAGGAGGATTAGAGACTAGAGTAAAAAGGACAGGGAGCACATTGGGTGAACTACATGCATGTGGTAGGAAGGGGTAGGACAGTGTAACGGACAGAGCAGGAGAAGACGAAGCAGAAGACAGCAGCCAGTCTCACACTAACCTTCTTTCGTCACCTTCTGCAACATTCATGGAATGATAAAATGTTTTTGTTGTTTTGGAAGTGGTAGTAATAATTTTCACAACTTTTGTAATTTGTATCATTATTACAATATATTTTAAAACATTGTTGTGTGTATTTTTTGTCACTCAGGCTTTCCTGCACAGTCGTATACTTTATTTTGGATACTAGTAACACATTCTTGTCTTTATAGAAAGCCTCTGTGACATAGTAGTAAGTGGCACTAATAGTATTCTTGTGTGTTGAGACAGTTGTAAAAGTTCATTAACTCTTTGAGTCTCAGGGGGTTTAGCATCAGAGGCCCAAGGGGTAGTCAAGAAAAATGTAAAATCGGCCCATCTTGCGTTTATTGGGCCTCTAGGTGGGAACCTATGAACGTATGGTGCATTCCTTGGGACTCAAAGAGTTCAAGTTGACCAGGAATTCTTCCTGACTATTACAGCTCTGGGGTCAAGCCAGTCATAATGTGAAAATGGGTACAGATTATTTCCAGAATTAAATGTAATTGGAAAGGAAACTGGTTATGCACCACATATGTTGAGTTGAGCTAAGAACTGCCATCATAGCACTCAGCACATTCCTCATCTTCAGCAGAAAGTGAAGGTTTCCAATTTTGATGGTGCAAGTAGCCTTTCCACTAAGAGGAGAGTGTTGACCAGACTCCCTAATCACTCCTAGCAGTATCATTCTCTCCAGATCATAATCATCTAATTGTGACTCTGCATTGTTCATTGCTGTCAAAGGATCCTCACCACATCCAGCTTGTCATGCATCATTTCATCACCCATTGGTGCAGAGCCAGCCAGTCTGTCTTTCTGTCCATTTCTCAACAACCCTTCATGCCCTGGAGAAAATATCCAAAGTGCACTAACTACTTGGGACCTCTGAAGTGATGCTTGCCACTCTGCACGGAGCATGCCTGTCTTCACCTTTCTCAGCATGCTTTGTAAATCAGTTACAATCAGGACATATGTGTGCACTTGGGTTTCAAGCCAGCAGAAAGCTGCTGTGACCACATCCACCTCTATTTACAAACTAGTTGTTGTAGTATCTTATGCTAAGCTTTCTTGTACTAAGCATTGTCAAGTCACTTTCACTATGAGCCCCCATGCATTTCTTCTGCCTTTGAACACAAATTCATCTTTGTAGGTGTTCACATTATTCAGTCAGAAATTGTCATGAATCAGGTGTAAAATTTCTGATTCTGCAATATCCACTAACAGATGCCTTCTCTCCTAGCCTAATATGCTTAGAACCCTATACAAGCCTGATTTTTTTCTCTGACCTTTTGATCTACTCGACTAAAGTTTTTTTCCCCCATGGCTACCTAGAGGTATGAAGTAACTAAGTGCACTTTGAGCCTGTCTGCAGTAGTTGGCAGCACAAGGATGTATCACATACTGACTACTGTGGTGTCTCATGTACTTCCTAGAATTATCTGGCATTCTCTGTGCATTCAAGCTTCACCAGCTGACTCTCTAATACAATGAGTAGTTTTAGTCCAATCATCTCAGTCCGTCACCAAGATGATCAAGTGCTGGTACGTTGTGAACAGCAATATTTTTTGCTTCATGTCCGTTGCTGCCTTAATCTGCAGTGCTTAAGCCTTTTCTGGCATTTTGGTGCCAAAGACCTCCATGTGGTCCCAGAATGGCAGGCTCCTATGGCCACGTGATACCCAGGTACTTCAATTTGCCTTCTCATTTGATGTTTCCATCATTAATTGTGGAGCTTTGAAAATCAGCTCTATCAATCCTATTGTCCAGAGTGTACCATAAAACAACCACCGGTTCTGGGTTAATGAACCCATCTCCTCACACCAACCACACATTTTTCATTGTTGCTTGTAACTCTTCGTCTGTTGCCTATCCATCCCCTGCCTCTTGAAGGAAGTTTTTCGCCAGGGACACAGATGAGTATCATTTATTTTGTAGATTAGAGTCCTATGTAGTCACTTCATAGTTAGAGCATATTTGTGTATGTGTACTGTGTTGTTCTTTATGTGCTGATGAAGGCTAGTCGCCGCAACATCCTTTGTTTGTTTATTGTGATCGATTTTGTAAAGCTAACATAAACTGTTTGTTTTTTCTTACCAACTTTTTCTCTTCCCTATAATTTCCTACTCCTTTAAAAACTGCCTGTATGCAAGAAGATCATATGCAAAGGACAGTATCCATCTCATACCATCTTGTGTGTATATACATTGAAGAGCACTTGTGAAATTGCAGATCCCTGTGGTAGTCCTGGGGCAGTATTGCACGGCTCTGAGACCTACATACCCAGATGAAGGGCAACCTTATGGGCATACAGGATAGCTGCTATCCAGTCAACAGATCAGGGACAGACCCTCTCTCTAAGCATGGACCTTAAATTGTCCACCTCATATGTCATGGCAAAGAATGTCCGAAGGCTTGAAATGTGTCACCATATCAGCAATTTCAGCTATGGGACTCAGTTTACCTCCACAAACTACAACTGGAGGATCACAAGAAACATTTTGTAGGATATTTTGAATTTATCTAAGGAAAGAAAAAAAAAAAACCAGTTATTTCACACTTCCTTATCTAATTTTTATTCATTTTTTTCATGCAAAAATGTAGTATTTTTACTTGTAATTTTGCTGTACTCTCTTTTACTTTATCTCTGTGTATTAGTTACACATAAAGAAATCTTCAGTTTTCTGAAGTAAGCAGGACATACTATATGGAGTCCATCGAGCAACCATTTGACAGTATAACTCGCATTAATGCGGAGATGCCTGATACCACAAGTAAGTATGTTAAAAATGTGTAATTCATAGGCATTCTTTTAAGGAAAAAACCATGCAATATTTTCTTATCATTAGAAGTTAGAAAATAGATTCTTTTTTGGTAGTTTTAACACATGGTAATGAATCCTGGACAAATTGTAAAGAAACACAAAACTTCTCTTGAATTCACAGAAATCTAGTTTTAAAGAAGAATGTTAAAAATACAGTCATCACCTTCTTCTTATGCTCGTCTGCTGGCTCAGGGTTTTGGGCTGGAATCCACATAGATTGAGAGATTTTTTTTTCAGGGATGACCTTGGCTCCCAAGCTTGCCAGCCTGAAATTGGTACCAGGTAAAGTCCTAGGATGTAAAGATGGCCGGTGCCATTATCACCACGTCACCCATCGAGTACTGATTGAAGACTATAGCATCATATGCTCTATACGCCACTGTCTTGAAAAGGGCATTTACCATCTCCTTATCCATGCTGTATGGCACTGGTAATCATGTCTGTCCACAGCCTTCTGTCTACTGTTCTGTAGGCCACTTCTGACACATAATTTCCTCTATGCCATAGTGCAGATAATCCAAAATCTTCTCTCTTGGTCTCCCTCTGCCTTCAACTTTCCAGTTTATAACAACGAACTCCAGTTTTCAATTTCTTTTATTGCTGGCAGTCAGTTCTCTCTGGGAGATAGGTTTTTTCTATACATCCTCATTAACACTTTTATATCTTTCCATGGTGTTCTGTTAAAAATTTCTAAATAAGTCCTCATGCCCTCTACCATCATGCAACTCATTACATGTCCTTCCAGTTTTAGTCACTTGATTCTTCAATTCATTTTTTCCATGTCTCCTCTTATTTCTTTGGCCCCACTGTTTCTAGTGAAAAATCATTCTAGTTATCAGGTTTTCTGAGTTTGTGTTCTGTCCATTGCTAGCATCTTTCCAAATCACTTGATTCTCTTGGATTTTTTCACTTCCCTCCCAGATTTCCACAGCAGTGATTCTTCTTCTGCATTCACCCTAAAAGTTGCAGTTGGCACATTGTGTTGTGTAGTTTACATCTAGACTGCGACATCTGCACCTTTTAGCCTATTACATCTGATTTCAGTAGATCCTTTATTAGTAGCCTTTTAGACCTGCCTGTTAGAACTGCCCAAGAATGGGGCTCTGGAACTCACACAGGAATGGGAAACCTTTTAATTCTTCGTATTCTATGCAGGCACCAGTTAATGAATGTTGTAATTGTTTTGATGCCCTTTTATAATTCCAGATGATAAGGCAGGATTGATTGAAACCAACAGCCCCTCTCAACGGTTATTTAATGGTGACAGTCCTAAAGCTGAGAGCTCTCCTCTACATGAAGCAAAGAGCACTAACAGTATATTGTAAGTTTTGTTCACTGTTCTGGTTTACATTTTCAGGTATAGTTTTAAAGATGAAGATTTTTGGTGGTGGTTTTTTTATGTTGGATAGGCAGCCAACTATTTTAGTCTTAGCAAGTTATTTGCTTCTGGCTGCAGTTATATTTCCGCATTAATGTGAAGGTATGTAGTTTTATTGTCAGCTGCTTGAGTTGAGTGCATGGGTTGACACTGTGAGCTGCTTGATTTAATTTAGAATGCTTTTAGACTGTGTCTAACATAATTTATGCTGTGAATTGCATACTGGGAAGCGGCAAGTGGTTTGTTGCCACAGAAATGGTAATGCCTTATGTGATCATTGCATGTTCAACTGTTAATTTGTTGCAACTGCTGAATGGTGCAGCTGTAAAATGAACCCATGACCTTCAGAGCACGAGGTAAATGGCTTGAACACTTTGCCATGGATACTTCCCCCCACCCTTACCCCCCCCCCACCCCCACCCAATATGCCTAGCAATGAAAAGGTTGACAAATTGACCAAAGAAGCCCATATGGGGATTCTGAGGCCCCATTTTGGGGGGGGGGGAATAAACTTAACAAGGTTTTCATGAAAGGTGACAAATTAAGTGTTTACTGAAATCAGATTTGGAGCTGAAAGGCCCCGACATTGCAGCACAGCTCAGTGCAGAATCACCCTTTCAAGGATAAAGGATAATAAGAGGGCAAAGGAGGAAGGAAGACTTTATCAGTCGGATGCAGAAAACTCATTTAAATTCAAGATGTTAAGAGGCTGCTACAAAACTAAGTAGGAATAAGAGAAGGCCGACAGAATAGATAATAGTATTGCCAGCTGCAAAAACTAGTTGTCTAATAGACTATAGCTCATATTTTGTGGCAGCCCTGTTCCGGAACTTAATTATGAAGATGAAACAGTCCTCCTTTTCAACAATGTAAAGGAAATAGAAAATTTAGTAATCATATCAGTCCAAAAACATGGTGAATATCAAAACCTATTCTGGAATTTAAAGAAAACTAAAATAATGTCCACAGAAAAAAACTGGCTGTCCCCCCCCCCCCCCCCCCCCCCCCCCCCCACCCCCCCCCCCCCCCCCCCCCCCCCCCCCCCCCCCCCCCCCCCCCCTCCCCCCCAAAAAAATATAACAATAAAAAAATTGAAAATCTCACAAGTCTTGAATATTTAGTAATCGATGGAGACTGTTTGACAGAAATCAAAAGAAGGATGGCCATAGCAATGCAAAGATTAAACAGCATTAAAAGTATGTGGTTAAACACCAGCAAAACGTAAAGGACCCTTTTCACACCTTTCAGGTGTATTGGGTATATAGCTTAGCAGGGAAATCACAATTACAATTTTGAGAGCATGCATCTTCCTTGTGGCAACATACGGATGTGGGTTATGGACAGTCTCCCAGTTCTTAAGAAAGAAAATAGGAGCTTTTGAGCTGAAATGATACAGAAAGATCCTCAGAATATCATGGACAAAGAAGAAAAGAAATATTGAAATGTTAACAGATCTGAACATCAAGGAAAATTGGCTAATAAATATCGTCATGCCTTAGAAGATGATATATTTTGGTCAAATCATGCGCGGTGGCAGATTAGAAAAAATAATAATAGAAGGAATGGTACCAGGAAGGTTGGCAGGGGCCAACCAACACGAAGATTGGCACAGGTTGTAAGTGATTTCTTGAATATGAAAGTACATGAGGCGAGGAGAGCTGGCGAGAGACCGAGTTTCTTTCTAGCAGACCGTGATGAGAGTGATGTTTTTTGAAAGGCAGATGCTACATGATGATGCTGGCATAGACCATAATGGATGCCACTTACAACAAAATAAAAGTAGGAGATGCTGATGATTGTAAATGTGAAATTAGAAAAATGACAGCTGAAAATTTGCTGTCAGAGTGCTTACCATAGAGAATGCTTTTATCTTATCTCAGCCTAGTTAGGGGCAAACTCTGTAGAGACATCAGCAGGCTGAGGTTCACTGCTGTTTTCTCTAAACATCTTTAGCTTGACAGAGGAAGAAAAAAAAAAATATTAGATCACGTATTCAGTGTGGTCTTCACAGTGGAGGATGGCTGCAGAGGATCTCTAGTACTTTCCATCTCTCATGCTGGCTGTACACTCTCAAACTGTTGTCAACATAAATTATTGATTATTCTTGTGATTACAGACATGGCCCCCAAAACAGAGGACTACGTATAATCATAATATCCTCAGTGGTGTTTGCTTTAGCTGTTACAGTGGCCCTCATTTTCACTATCTACTTGGAGCCAAAGCAAGTAAGCATTTGTTGCTTCTGTTTCATTTGTAAAGTCTACAAACAAATTGCTTGGCAAAACAGATATCATAAAAAGATATAAGCAAACAAGATGAAATGTAGAACCAGTCATAGAGGAAAGGACCCACTGCCTCTCTAGCAAGCATGTCGCACAAGGCGACTAATTAGGGAAGTTTTCCTCGGAGAGACAAGGAATAAGCAGTCTGCAAACAAATAACCCAGATCTGTGATATGGTGATGCATTCAAAACTCAAGTACTGAAATAAGACTAAAGTTTTGAAGTGGGACAAACAACCAGAACTTTCTGCTGGAGTTTACATTACAGCTGGTGAATACTAGGAAGAAGAGAATGCTGATTTAATACTTTCGCTGCTGTGCCCTCCGCCAGCCAACATAACCACTATGCTAAGCCAGGCGAGTGCTAATCCTTCCTCCTGTGCTGAATACCTTTTTTTCCACAAAAAGCAGAAGACGCGCTTGCGGCGCGGGGTAAAAATTGTACACCTAAAATAAAAACTCTTTGAATTCGGATGGTTGACATTTGTGCTGACAAGTCAGACATGCAATGGCTACGCCATAAAAACTCATTAAAAAAAAAAGAAATCTTCTACAAACTTACAAAGCAAACGCAAAACACTTTAGTAAGCAAATACGTGGTTTTTTATTATTATTAATAATATCTTTTTGTGTGAAATATTTTAAAACAAGGTGCGACACAATGCCAAATCACATTCCTTGCACATGTATCTGGTTTTTGCTTTTTGCGCATACCACACAATTTCTTGTTGGGAATTTCTTCTATGATGTTATGGACTCTATTATTGAAGGGAAATGCCTTTGTACTAAACAAAGCTGCAGATCTTCACGTTTTTTTTTTTTTTACCTCCTACACTTTTTCTCTGATCCTTGCAATATTTCTGTAGAATTTCTCTTTCTGACATTAAGTGAAATTCGGCAACTGGAGTGTTTTCCCCCAAAAATGAACAGTACACCAACCACGCTTTACAAAGGAACAGGATAACGTGTAACGCATCTAAATTCACCTGAACGCACGTGACAGGATATTTAACTAATTAATACTTTGGTGATCTGTTGACGAAAGTGCTAAGAGCTTAAATTTAAAATGTAAAATTAAAATAATAATAAAAAATTAAAAAAACGGCATGTAGGGGTTAAACGCAGGATTTTTCTATTGTAAGGCAGACGTGGTACCAACTACACGAGAAACTCATATGAACTTAGAACTGTAAAATAGGACTAGTATTGTACACTTTGATAGACAGACACATTTATGTCAGTTGTATAGTATATTAGAAACATTAATATTAATCATTATGTCAGTACGTGACCACATCTTCATTTTGATTATTGGGAATCCATTTCAAATCCAGTCGATGTCGATAGCTGGGTCATAATTCAGTCTTGCTCACGGCCAGAAGTACACATGTCCGCCGGCGTGCCGCGAAGATAACCCAGCTCATATAACTCGCACGTTTCAAAGTGATCCTTACTATTACTCCTTGAAAGAAACTGTATTCATTCTTCATTAACTTTAATTAACAAATTTTCTTGTTATTTTTTTATTTAAAAAAAAAAAAAAACAAGTTGACTAACGCAAAACCAGAAATAAATTTCAGGGTAAAAAATATACCGTTCACCGACCATGCTTCTATGGTAACGAACCAACAGGAAAACGTTAAATGCATCTAAATACACCTAAACGAGCATGATATGTGTTTTCATTGTATGTAAATGTGTCAATTTGATCAGATTTAGGTAATGTATATTGCCATTTCACCCCCGAGAATTACGGTTCTTAGCAATCTGTAAGAAAAGTCAAAGACGAGTTAGCTCATCCTTAGCAGTGAGGGCACAGATAACGGAAGATGAGTTATCTTGTCCGTAGCAGCGAAAGGGTTAAGATATGGAATACAGCATTGTTGAACACTACCTACCGGGAGGGCTAACCCGCTCAACAAATGCCCTCAGAAGTCGGATATGTTGGCCGAAAAGTGCAAATATCGCAGCCATGCTGTAAACGGACACAATGCAATTACATCTTCGGATGAACGCAGAAGAAGAAGAACATTACCTGAACATTCTCCACACCAGCATACATATAAAGAACATTGATAATGATCATGACAAAAGTGGGTGTCAGAGTATCTTAGAGACACTAATCATTCCTTTAGCTATGCCAGCTAAGAGATAAGTGGCTTTGGTCCACACCACCTTGATATTACTGGAGGGATCTTATTATTTAAAGTATACTTAAAACAGGCAGAAAGAACACACGTTACCAGTGTAGGTGCAGCCCCTTCTAGTATATTTATTCATGCTCTGTTTAATAATGCTTTGACTATAAGAAACAGAATATAACAATATATTGAGGATATTCTAAGGTAAATATTATTACTTATATGCATTTTTAAAGTCTGTTAAGTTTTTGTATCTTCCTTCTTGTTGCAACTCATTTTCGTTGTATCTCTGTCTTCCTCTTCTATTCTACTTATGCTAGTAATAAAAAAAATTTTAAATCATTTTTCATTTTCACTATTGATTTAGCATTGTGAAGAGGAATAGTTAGTGGTTCAGCACTGGCTAATGTCCTCCATATAAATTCACAGTGACACTGTTGCCATAAATATATCTTTTTCATAGACTGTCATATTCTTTTTCTGTCATTTTCTTAGATGTAGCACCGGTGTCAAGAACTTAGATGTAGCACCTGTGTCAAGAACTCAGATGTAGCACCTGTGTTTAAAAAAACATAGATGTAGCACCTGTGTTAAGAATTTAGATGTAGCACCTGTGTCAAGAACTTATATGTAGCACCTGTGTTAAAAACTTAGATGTAGCACCTGTGTTAAGAACTTAGATGTAGCACCTGTGTCAAGAACTTAGATGTAGCACCTGTGTCAAGAACTTAGATGTATCTCCTGTGTCAAGAACTTAGATGTAGCACCTGTGTTAAGAACCTAGATGTAGCACCTGTGTCAAGAACTTATATGTAGCACCTGTGTCAGGAAGATGTCAGTTAGCACTGGTAGCCTAATGTTGTTATCTTCTACCTTAGCATTCACTCTTAAAGTTCAATTGGTTTACATCATGGCTGTGATATATGGACTTTTAGGATGAACACATCACATTTCAGCAAAGCTCTAATAAGTCAAATTTTATGATATACTTGTAAGAGGTCCAGTGAGTCTACCACACCCCAGACTACCCAAAATGGGGCCTCAGAACCCACAGGACAATATGGAACAGCTTTAGTAAACTTTACTTTTAGTCTTCTTCTCTTCTTGATCCTCTTGTATATTACCATGTCGGGGTGAAGCATAAGCTGCAGCAGATGCCATTTTGTGAGCTTCATATCTGACCTTGGATTAGATTCTCATGAACTGTTATTTCCCCTGTTAGTCACTTACAAGATTAGCCTCTTTCTCACTTCCCACTTGGTCTGTACATCATTGCTCATTGTGGTATACTGTCTGTTGGCATCTGAATTTAATGGCTGAACCCCTTTACTTGTTTTCTAATGAAATCAAGTTCCGCTACTGCCCTCACTGTCGTTGAACTAGATTATCCAAATTGCTTTTTCTTTACTTGAGTAAGACAGAGTATTATAATTATGGTGATGTTATAGGTCCATGGTCATGCAGCTGTTTCCTGTGAGGATATTCGCTGTAGCGACATCGGACTTCAGATACTTGAAGATGGAGGAAACGCTGTAGATGCTACAGTAGCTACTGCCTTTTGCCTAGGTGTGGTGAACCCTGCCCATTCAGGCATTGGAGGGTAAGTAAATGAGTTTAAGGGTGGAAGGATTAACTTTGCTGCATTTAGTTTTATTCTATATGACTCAGTCTGTCTGTATAGAGCAGCTGACTTCTTGCAGAAAGTTTAGCATAAAGCACAAACACCGTAGCTCCAACAGTAATCCTAAGGTATTCCTGAAAACATTATGTTTGTGAAAAAGATGACACAGTCCAGATTACTAAACTTGACTTTTGTAGAGTATGGCAGATGGCTTTTATCACTTTGCTCCAGAAGGTATATAACCAGGAAGTTCGAATGGGTTAGATTTACAACAGGCTAAACACAACTCACTCATACTCATGCGTAACTGGAGACCATAAGGGAAGCAAAGAATAGTAATACTGTAGACTACTATTGGAATTGTAGGAGGTGACAAAGAAGTATTGGATGGGACTGGCTACCTTATCCTACATAAAACTTGATCTGCAAAATCAGTTAAACATGATTTACTCTGCAGAAGGCTGGGCAAGAGTTCTTTGAGGGTCTGCACACCAGCTGGAATATAGAACAACAGAAGAAGACAAACACAGTCATAATCATATAATAAATATTATGAATGTTATGCATTTGACAGCAAACAAGGACTCATAATTGATTGACTAAAGCTATTATAATAATCTTTGTATAGTCAGAAAAAGTAAGGCGAAATAATCAGACTGCAACTGGCACCATTAATACCTGTACTGTCTGCTGAAGATTGGGATGGAGCACTAATGGGATTGTCTTGAGTTTTGTGATGTCAGTTCTTAACTCAGTTTACTACATGGATATAAATAAATATCCATAAACATGCACTGAAATAAATTACATTATTATCTTCTTTATAATGAAATGACCATGGCAGAACAGATAGCAGAAACGTTTGTAAAAGTGACTGCCTGAGGATGTAATCTACCAGAAAAAATAAAGTATCAGAGAGCTTTTTTATTAATGCTTTATATTAGTTTGGAACATATTTTATTTTTCTTAATAACTGACTTTGACTCCCAGGTCATCTCATGCTAAAACTAGTACCAGGAAATATCGTAGGAGTTGAAGGTCAGCATAACGCCAACATTAGGCATCAAGGGTTGGTTGCTCTATACAAAAATTAGTTCACTATCGTGTGTTTAATGTGTAACTGACGTTTTAAGGGCCCTTTACTTTCAACAAAAGTTAAATTTTACCGGGTAGTCTTCTTCTTTCTTTGCGATCACAGTCTGTAAACTCTGGCAGAAAAGTTCTGGTTGTTCATTCACTTCTGGACTGTGTGTCTGTTCCAGAACCAGAGTGTTGCGTGTATATCTGTTTTACATATCTGATTCAAATGTATGCAGATTGTTTGTTTCTTGCCTCTCAAGGCCTATGCACCCTGACTTCGAAGGAAGTTCCCAGTTAGTTGTCTCTTACGACATGCTTGTGGGCAGGCAGTGGGTCTATTCTTGTATTCACCAGAATGGGGCCCCAGATCCCATATAGAGAATACTGGGTATTGAAGGGAGCCAATGTGATGTAGCGGCTAGATGCTCACATGTGGATTCAAGTGTAGTGGGTTCAAAACCAACCGGAGCCTGACTTTTCAAAAATGACCTTGGCTTCCAGGTCGACCCAGCCTTAATGCATAGCAGGTAAAGACTTGGGAAATAAAGGTGGCTGACATAATGTTGACCACATCATCCATCTGATTGGTCTATAAAATATAGGTCTAGCCCTGTGTGCCCAGTACACCTGAGGGTGTGGAAAGTTGCCCTTTACTTTACTGGGCACAGAAATATTCCATTGGTCCTGTGCTTGTTTGTATGTGTAGTACTTTCAACATAACACTTGTTGCTTACCTCTTTCATGGAAGAATATAAATACTGCTATAATGTATCACTCCCTCAGAGGTGGATTTGCTATTGTCCATGATCACAAGCTTCAGAAGTCAGTGGGCTACAACTTCAGGGAAACAGCACCAACAAGCAGCCAGGAACCACATCAGGTGAGTTTCGTAAAGTCAGTGGTCTACAATTTTAGGGAAACAGCACCAACAAGCAGCCAGGAACCACATCAGGTGAGTCGAATAAAGTTAGTGGGCTACAACTTTAGGGAAACAGCACCAACAAGCAGCCAGGAACCACATTAGGTGAGTCGGGTAAAGTTAGTGGGCTACAACTTCAGGGAAACAGCACCAACAATTAGCCAGGAACCACATCAGGTGAGTTTCGTAAAGTCAGTGGGCTACAATTTTAGGGAAACAGCACCAACAAGCAGCCAGGAACCACATCAGGTGAGTTGGGTGAAGTCAGTGGGCTACAACTTTAGGGAAACAGCACCAACAAGCAGCCAGGAACCACAACAGGTGAGTCTCGTAAAGTCAGAAGGCTACAACTTTAGGGAAACAGCACCAACAAGCAGCCAGGAACCACATCAGGTGAGTCTCGTTAAGTCAGTGGGCTACAACTTTAGGGAAACAGCACCAACAATCAGTCAGGAACCTAATCAGGTGAGTCGGGTTAAGTCAGTGGGCTACAACTTTAGGGAAACAGCACCAACAAGCAGCCAGGAACCTCATCAGGTGAGTCGGGTGAAGTCAGTGGTCTACAACTTTAGGGAAACAGCACCAACAAGCACTCAGGAACCTCATCAGGTGAGTTGGGTGAAGTCAGTGGGCTACAACTTTAGGGAAACAGCACCAACAAACAGTCAGGAATCAGATGAGCTATGTATTTGTTTACTTTTTACACATCTCTTCTGTGGGAGCCACCATGGCACAATGGCTGGACTCTTTTCTGTCGACCTGAAAGTCTTGGGCTTGAATCCACACTGAGCTGATTTCACAATAAATCCCCCTGGCTCCAAGGTCCACCAAGCCTAAAATGGGGACAGGGAAATGTTCTAGGAAGTCAAGGTGCTGGCATGATGTTTACCAGATCATCCACTGAGAGCTGATTGGTCTATAAAAATATGATATACATTTTATACCTAATGCACTACTTGCATAAAAAGTATCCTTTTACTGCTTTATATTTCCTTCTTTGCCTCTCCTCCTTTTAATCATCTGAGTGATCCGTTATGTTAACTCCTTCCTTATCAAACAACACACCATATATTCACGAGTTGCTGCGTTCATCATTTACTTTCAAACCCTCTTCTGTACCAGATAATGTGCAGTATTTTTATATTTATGCCGGCTTCTGTGTTGTAAATGTTGTCTGAATTGGGGAAAATCTTCACCGTCTAGGTAAGTTGATTTGTTTCTGCAAAACAGAATTTGACTGGTTTAGTCAAGATAAATTCTGACTGAATTATACAAAACACATTTTAATTGGATTATCCTGACACATTTTGATATGATTAGATAAGACCAATTTTGATTGGATTAGACAAAGCATATTTCTTTTATTGGATTATTCAAAATGCATTTTAATTGAATTAGACAAGACACAGTTTGATTGGTTTATTTAATAAATATGTATATTTTGGCTATGTCTGTTGGATGTGTTGTGACTGACATTTAGAAATGTTTGTTTGTCAGGAAAGCTCGAAGGTGGGAGTACCTGGAATGGTGAAAGGATTGGCACAAATGCATAAAATGCATGGAAAGTGAGTATGATTGAACTCATTGCACTGAGACATGTATCATCATCATCAAGTGCCATGTTGACTGGCTTGGGCGATCATTCCTCTTGACAGCTTGTGATCTGCAACAGCATTTTCCCCCAACAAGTGTGTTGTAAAAGACAGCTAATCTAAAATCATATGTGTTGTGCAGAAATCTGCAGATATTGCAGCTTAGCTGTAAACACAACACAACACAACATTCCAGACATGCTTTTTAGGGTGAACTAAGAAGAAAAAGAAGCTGGATTACTCATTCTATCCATTCAAGAAATATTGAGACATAACAGTTGAAATAACTTTAGTTCACATTTCTGTAAGAGCACATTTTGTCATCATCTTTTTCTTCTTCTTCTCGATCACCAGCTGTAAACTCAGGAGGAAAGTTCTCGTTGTTTATCCACTTTTTGACTTTAGTTTTGTTCCAGTTTTACAGATCTAGTTGATTTGTACCTGGCTTCTCAGGCAGACGTTGAAAGACACACCCCTAATTAGTAGATCTCAATACATGTATTCTCCTAGATCTCCCTAGATGTATTCACTTTGATCTCCCACAGTGAATTTTCCTTAAACGTCCACTAACCCCCGACCCCCTTTTCCTGTCAGCAAGAGTAAATGAACAAGCTGATGGGTTTGCTGGCATGGCTGTTGTTTAAAGCACACAAGAATGAGACTAGACTGATATCCTAAGTGTCATCAGAGAGGCATAAGGATTAAAAGAATCAAAGATAACTGAGTTTACAGCCTTGATCAGACTGCAAGAACATTAAGTTAGGTGCATATCCTTTACAGGAGGTTGCAGGACCAACCCCAGCAGCCCCTGGCTGTTTTTTTTTTTCTCTATGCAAATTTACGTCCAGTAGTTTGCCATTGCTTTGTGGACGGTCGGCCCCCTGATACCACTGTCGAAACCAACGCAAAGCGCATGACCAGCAGCTGGGATCGAACCCGGCACCCCAGCATTACAAAGCGTTCGCATTGACTTAGCCACAGAGCCGACACTGCAAAAACAGCTAGTTAAAAGGGGGAAACCAAACAGAAACACTATGAAAGGAGCCAACAAACAATACAGAATAGTAAGCAAACACAGTGTTTTAGTCAAGGGGAGATATTGTAAGAAGATCCAAGCAAACAGTAAAGTGAATGGTATAGTCCTTTTCTTTAGCATTTGATGTTAAAAGTCAGTTGGCAGTGTGTCTTGGCTAAAATTAAATCTATAATGTATTTTGACCCAACACATCTGATCTCAGCAAATTCATAATTAGTCGCCCGTCGGTGTGCAGTACAGATCATGAATATACCTGCAAAATGTGACACGTGAGATTTGCCACAGGCTATACTTTGTTTAAGGGGTGTCATTTTATTTTCATTATTTTCAATTTTATAAGCATTCTGTATTCCATGTTGTGAGTGGCCAAAATTTTCATTCATGTTTTGTTATTTTCAGCGCTGTAAGCAGTCTATGTTGCATGCTTTGAGTGGCCAGCACATTATATTTTCCACATTATAAGCCGCCGGCCAGCATTGTGTGTATTAGTGTGTTGTGCATTGGCCCTTCATCGATGTCACTGCGGCCTTACCTGATGGCTTGAAATTGGAGATGAATTTCCTTTTAGGACACCCCTCCCCCCACAGCCTTTTCATGGCCTGCCCTAAAATGTCACCAATTCTCAAACCACTGACGGTTCACAGAGAAAGGAAAACTTAACTTAACTCTCGGCTGCACACAGAAACAAACAAGACAAAACAAAAACAAAACACCCTGTCGATCACTGTCACCTGCCACAGGAAGAGACCTGCACAGTCTCATTGTGTCGGACCTGGAATGATTTTCTGCACAGTGTGTAAAGACAGCAAAACTGGGAAAAACAAGGAAATGACTGCATATGCTAACCCCCCTAGAACATAGAGCAGCCAGGGAAAGCAGCCATCGCATGAATGGGACTGAACAGAAAATCTTGGCAGATCTCTCGCTTCGATGATATATACCATAGCATGCTTGTTAGGGAGCAGTGGGAATTGCAGAGATTAAGTACTAATTAACTTGACACCCTCAGCCTGAATGAGAATATCTGTGATGAGTTTACCTTCATCTTTTAATGTAAAGAGACATTTTGAGGTCTCTAATAGTATCTTCTCTTTTGTATATACACATTACCTGCCTCTCATCGAGGACACAGTTTAGCTAATCCAGTACCATCTCCATAATGAAAGCTGGCTGCAGTGGATCTCAAACACCCCCTATCTCTCTCTGTGGTTGTACACTCTCTCAGACTGTGGTTGTACACTCTCTCAGACTGTGGTTGTACACTCTCTCAGACTGAGGTTGTACACTCTCTCAGACTGTGGTTGTACACTCACTCAGACTGTGGTTGTACACTCACTCAGACTGGTTGTACACTCTCTCAGACTGTGGTTGTACACTCTCTCAGACTGTGGTTGTACACTCTCTCAGACTGCGGTTGTAAACTCTCTCAGACTGTGGTTTTGAAACTCTCTCAGACTGTGGTTGTACACTCTCTCAGACTGTGGTTGTACACTCACTCAGACTGTGGTTGTACACTCTCTCAGACTGGTTGTACACTCTCTCAGACTGTGGTTGTACACTCTCTCAGACTGTGGTTGTACACTCTCTCAGACTGGTTGTACACTTACTCAGACTGTGGTGTACACTCACTCAGACTGTGGTTGTACACTCTCTCAGACTCTGGTTGTACACTCACTCAGACTGTGGTTGTACACTCTCTCAGACTGTGGTTGTACACTCTCTCAGACTGTGGTTGTACACTCTCTCAGACTGTGGTTGTACACTCTCTCAGACTGTGGTTGTACACTCTCTCAGACTGTGGTTGTACACTCTCTCAGACTGTGGTTGTACACTCTCTCAGACTGTGGTTGTACACTCTCTCAGACTGTGGTTGTACACTCACTCAGACTGTGGTTGTACACTCTCTCAGACTGTGGTTGTACACTCTCTCAGACTGTGGTTGTACACTCTCTCAGACTGTGGTTGTACACTCTCTTAGACTGTGGTTGTACACTCTCTCAGACTGTGGTTGTACACTCTCTCAGACTGTGGTTGTACACTCTCTCAGACTGTGGTTGTACACTCTCTCAGACTGTGGTTGTACACTCTCTCAGACTGTGGTTGTACACTCTCTCAGACTGTGGTTGTACACTCTCTCAGACTGTGGTTGTTCACTTCTTGATGTTATTTCCCACAAGTGTTGAGCTCTTCCCATAAGGTTCCAGGACTCCATTGTGGAAGGGGGAAGGAAAGAGGGAATAGATCTACTGCCTCCCTAAAAGCATGTCGTAATAGTCAGCTAATTAGTGATTTCCTTCAAAGACGGTGTGTATGTGCTTGAGAGGCCAGGAGCCAACAGTCTGCATATAAATATGCTAGATCTGTAAAATGGGTGTGCATGCTAAACTAAATTTCTGGAACAAGACTAAAATCCTAGAGTGGACATACATCCAGAACTTTCTGCTAGAGTTTACAGCCGGTGAACATGAAGAACGAACAAACTTTATTTTCAAAGGGTTACAAATTAGGCAGGCAGGCCTGTCTTACATTCCGCCCTTCCAAACTTGCATTGTTCGCATAGCAGTTGTATTTCATCAATGAAGCATGTTAAATTTATGTAATAATATACATATGATATATATAAAGTCAAAAACAAAAGCATGGGTGGTAAAATATGTGCGCACGCTCACGCGCGAACACACGCACCCACATACACACACAAGCCAAATCACTCACTTACACACAGACACATAGGCACCCAGAACACACATGCATCTACATTCATACAAACATGCACACACACATACATACATACATACATACATACATACATACATACATACATACATACATACATACATACATACTTACATACATACATACATACATACATACATACATACATACATACATACATACATACATACATACATACATACACACATACACACATACACACATACATACACACACATACACACACACATACACATACACACATACACACACACACATTCACACACACACATACATAC